CTTTTTTTTTTTTTTTTTTCCTCAGGTTCCCCGTTCATTAACCTACCATTTGAAGATGCGTACCGATTTAATTCAAGAATTCCAGGTTTTAAAAATATCAGCAACAAAGGTTATGAAGGAGTTTACGCATTCCCGGTAATTTATTTTTATTTTTATTTTTTCTATAAATATTTATTAAAATTTTATTTTTATTTTTCAAAAGTGTACAACACGATTCAAATTTTCATTTATGTTCAACTCAATTGCCTATGATTTGACGAATGAAGACCTAATATTTGAAAAAATTCCGGATACAATTTATTGTATTTCTGGAGTGAAAGGTTCAAAAGCTGTTGAAAATACTTGGGTTATTGGAAATGTTTTTTTAAGAAAGTTTATTTCTGTTTTTGAGTTGAAAAAAATGGAGGATGATAAATTTAAATTTGGAATTATAAGAAAAAAAAGTATTTAATTATTAATAAATAATAAATAATTAAATAACTTTTTTTAATCAAAAAAGAATTATTTTCATAATGTAAAATGAATAATAATAATAATAATAATAATAATAATAATAATAATAATAATAATAATAATAATAATAATAATAATAATAATAATAATAAATTAAAAACAAATTATTATTCTAATATATAAATTAAATATAATAATTATTATATATAATTATATGTGTTTAATAAATAAAATTGATTTGTAATTCAAATTAAAATATATAAAAATTAAAAATCATAATTAATAATATAAATAAAATATAATAATATTATTATTATTATTATTTTTATTATTATTATTATTATTATTACATTCCAATTATAATTTATAACATAATATAAATTTCTATAAACATATAAAATTGTTAATTTAATTTTTATAATCAAACAATAAATCTATGATGCGAAAAAAATTAATCCCTTTGAAAACCATTTTATGCAAGACATAGCTTTGTTCCTCACTACGAATACATTTCTCAAGAAAATTTGAAGCTTGGAAAATTGCTTAACTTCAGATGAACTTTAAGAATTCAAGAATTTAAGTTATAAGCGGTTTCCTGATTTAGCGAATATTGATCCAATTGTCCCGATTTAAATGATTTAAATTTCGATTACTTTGCACAACCTAATACCCCCACATACACCTAACTTCTCGATAGAATTTTTGAATGACTCAAAAGGTCTTAAACTATCCACAGTTTTAATTCATCCTAAAATAGGATTACTTCCATTCATCAAGAGACCAAATCAAGTTTTTCGATTTCTTGAGATTTTTAATAAATTGACTTTTTAGCCATCTAAATCCATATTTCATTCAAAATAAACTATTAATCAACGAATTCTATTAAAATTTCAACTTAGCCATGAAATATTTTTCGCTCGCAATAATCAATCATGATGATGATGAAAGGCCAAAACATTTGGTAAATTAACTTTTAATATCCTTCCTCAAAGAAAAAATCCATCAATCCATTTTCACCTCAACCCTCGTGATCAAAATAGGTAGGAATAATTTATCCTTTTCTAGATTTCCTCTCCCTAACATCATCCTTGACTCCTTAACGCAATCTTCTAGCCTCACGTTCAGACTCGAGTAGACATAGAATGTCATTTTCTCGCACAGGACCTTTCACATTTCGAATAATTGAACGTTGCGTGTCCTCAATGAACTCGACACGGACTTGAGTGACACCACCACGAGAACCAGTGCGTCCAAGAACTTTTATCACACGTGCAAGTTTCACAGGTTGTTTGGTATCCTGTGAAATTTGAAAGAGTCAGATATTTTAAACTTTTGTAAAAAAGAACCACTAAAAATTGGAAAGCTTGATATACCATGTTTGTTCACTATAATTTTTATATAAATCACTTATATTGGATAGAGAACCGCCGCTATACAGAGGTCAATGAGTAGAGACGAGAGTTAGCAATTAAGAAATAATTGCATGAATTTATACCGAGTGCAAATTTTTTCCGTCTCTTTCGTCATCAATTTCAATTGTAATACAAAACTAATTGTCGAGAGCACTAAACTACAAATAGTATAAACTGTTCTAAAGTGTTACACAGATTAAGACGGTATGGCCGAGTGGTCTAAGGCGCCAGACTTGAAATCTGGTTCCCTATGGGAGCGCAGGTTCGAACCCTGCTACCGTCGATTTAGTGTAGGGTTAGAAACTCCTTTTGTTAATTTCCCGATTCATCTAGAATCTATCAATGTTTATTTTGTTAATGGAATTTGAAACAACTTCTACGTTCACTGAACTTTCGCAAGAGTATTCCGATTTGCAATTCGTTCCAAAAGGTTTTTTTCTTCTGAAATTAAAGTGAGTCCGCTGAAATTTTTCAAATTTATACCTCCATTCAACGCATTTAGATATATGACGAAAAGTAGAGGAAAATCGTTCCACAAATTTTTTATTTATTAGAAAGAAAAACAGGATAATGACGCAACACTGTTTTTTAATTTCGGAAAGGGATGTAAAATTGTGTATATACTTGTTTAGATTGAGATACATTCAGGAGTGAGATACATTTGAGGGGGGAGGAAATAATGATCACTAATTGATCAACGAATGGTGTAAAATCTTGGGATTTTTTGATTTAACCGTGGCATGAATCATACCCATAATTTGAAGGAAATGAAAATTTTTCATCGTAATCGCTTTCTAGTTGTGGGAAACAACCAGATTATAGATAATCCAGAAAAAACATACAGATTGGTGAAAGGATAACTTTACGATATATAGCATATCAAAGGTATCCTTCCCAACTGCAATTAAAGCTAAAAAGCTAGAAAAAACCCCCAACTCTTGTTTGCTATGCTACATTGATAGTTCCACCTCTATTTTTTATCAGCCTTCCATAATTATCATTATTCCCTTAAAACAGTATTCCCAAATCTTTTACTATCAAATGACAATAAAGGCAAAATAATTATGTACAAAAGAAAAAGTTAAAGATTAAGGATTGATGACGGAAATTTAAGGGTGGTAAGAAAAAGATTATTAAACTAAAGATAAAAGGGATATTCATTTGTTTATTTACAAAGTATGTGGAATAAAAAGTTAAGGATGAAGAGTTGATCAATTATGGAAAAAGTGATTTTTTGACTATTAGTTATTGAAGAGGAAGAAAAAGTAAATTTCAGGAAAGAAGTATGAAGTAGAGGGTTGACAAGTACCGTTTCGATGGCTGTCTATGAGAAATAAAAAGAATTGTACAAAAGAAAATAAAGGAATAAGAAGGATCCGGGGTGAATGCAATAGATGAAAAAGAGCAAGAAAAAAAACAGTTATGTTCATTCTCCGAAAAAAGAAAAGGACACTTGAAATATAGTTCATATATAGATTACAGTTTCAATTAAAAGATTAATGTCAGCTGACTTTGGCAATTGGGATGTGAATGAATAAATCATTCCCGCAATTAGACCAACTTTGTATATTCGCCAAATTTCACATTTTAGAGGTGCTGTTAGATTCGCAACCAAGCTCCTTGGCGAACCAATCCAAAAAGATAACGTGATAGCGATCTTTCCACATTTTCAAGAATTTTTTGTTCAAGAAATTAGAGCTCAACTGGCGTTGCCAGCTAATTACTTCGACCTTCCAACCTCTATTTAAAGCCATTACTACACATTTATGAAATCCCCCTTGGAAATACTCTGCGTCTTTACCGTCACCACTTGCCAATACCAAAGTAGCAGGAGCAGAGTAGTCAAGCAAGGACTCCAAGATCTTGAGATGGAGAAGTTCATCAACGCACTGTTCTTTTTCCATCCCGGTTTGTGATGATTGACCTTCTCGCATACGAGAAGCTAAATTTGTATTGAAAATAGTTTCTTCCTCGATCGGTCTTTTAACACGACGAAGTACGGAGACCTCATACCCGCCATTTTCGGCTTCCTCAAGCCGCTGATACAATGGAGAGGAAGCGACTAGAACTTTACGGTCGATATTCCTTCCTCGCTCGAGGATGGTGAACAACGCTTCATAGTCCAATTTAGGTTTAAGATCTGCAGTGACTGCTGAACTCGAATTGTCTGCGCGGATAGGAGTAGGTTGTTTCTCCCGACAATATGCCAAGAATCCAGCTAATATGTTGGAATTATCAACAAAAACGTGAATAGGATCCGGAGAAATAGCAATCGGGATAGGTATACGAAGCTTCGATGGCTTCCAGAAGCCCTGTTTTTTGGCTTTTGATGTTGTTGGTTTGACTTCATTTACATGATGATCAATTTTGTTCAAAATAATATCTTGAGATGGGTTTTGATTAAGTTTAACCAAAACGGAATCTGCGGATGGTTTTTTATCAGCTTTGTTCAAAACAGTATCGTTGGTAGGATTTTCTTCGAAATGGACTTTCTTTCCATCAGATTTCTATTCAGTTCAACGCATAAATTAAGAATTTTGAGTTTTCTATCAAATTTTTAGAGTAGAGCAATGAGATTGACAAAAATTATTGAAGGAAACGTACCGTTGTCTTAGAAACATGCGAGGATATCTTTGCCTCAACTTCCTTTTTGGTAATGATTATCTTACTATTTTTCTTTTTTTGGTTCTTTTTATCCCCTGGTCCAACGGGTGGAAGAACCAAGAGATGTACCCTTTTTTTCTTTGATGGTTTCGCTACTTTGATCGTTTTATGGCCACCAAGTGATAACTCTTCAGAAGAAGAATACTCGGACGACGAGGAATGGGGTAACAAAGGTGGTTTCTTAATATTATTACCTTTCTTTGAGTGAGAGGCAGAGTTCAACACATTCGAAAGTTGCAAGAGTGACGATGAGTTAGAATCTCGCCATTTTTCTTTCTCCATTTCAAGGTATCGCCACAGGCTTTCGAAATCTCCCAACATTTGTTCTTCACTATTTAAAGATTTTTCAGGCATTGTCCAAAGGGGAACAAGTTCCCTGAAGATAGGGGTGACGAAGGTATACTATTTTTCACGAGAAGTCCACTTGCTTTTACTTGTTTCAATTTCGCGTGAGTTGACCAGTTTTAAGTTAGTAGTTGAGATGGGAAATAAGTTACACTTTGATGAAGCACCTTGCCTCGTATTTATGTCTCTTGCTATTATCGGGAAAACTGCGCGGTGTTACCACTCGGCTGAACCAACCAGAGTAAGAAAAAAGAGTTGAGTTATTTATTGTTCTTTGATTTTCGCTTACTGAATTAATCACATGAATTATCAAAGGTGAGTCAGGACAGTGGGAAATGTCGATTCGCATGAATGTAAATGGCATGATAGATTGAAATATTCGGGTAAAAATGAAAATGTGATAACAAATTGTGGATGTTTTTCTCGCATGAATAAATGATGCGGGGTTATCAGGAGAGTAATCACTTGGCCAAACAAAGCTTCCAATAACGTTGTGTGGCTCCTTTTATGGAATTGTGTCTCCGCCTGATTACTAACAGTAAAGTTATTATCCGAGGCGAAGTTAACTTTGTCACTAGCACCATATTTATTTTCTTTCATATTGAAGTGTAATAAAAATTCCAGAGAAATATTTTGAATTTCAAGAAGTAAAAAATCTGGTTTTCAAATTAGGAATTTTTTTATTTTATTAAAAAACTTAACATTTATACATTTAAAATTCAATTTTTTTTAAAGTTTTGTTTTAAATAAACATATTTATATAAAAAGACAAAAAATTATAAATATAATAAAATATATATTTATATATTATATAAATTTTAAATAATAAAACTCAATTTATTATTTGTAATAAGTAGTGGTTGAATTACATTCATTAATGCAAAAAATAAAATAAATACAGCAAAAAAAGCTTAAAAATAAGTGTAATTCATTTTTTTACATGTAATCAGCCCCCTAAATAATATATTGTCAGATATTAGAAATATAAACTTTTAAATAATATAAAAATATAATAATAATTTTATTATTATTATTATTTTCCTTTTTTTTCTTTTTTTTTATTAATTTTTAAAAAATTATTAAATTATTTATTATACTTAAAGTTTTTTTATTTTAAGTAAAAAGTTTTATTTTTTATTTTTTATATTATTTATATTTAAAGTTTTTAATTTATTTGCATAGAAACATTTTATTAACAATAACAATAATAAAAAATAACAAAAAAAATTATAACCAAATATTATTAAAAAAATTTACCAATACAAAAAATTAAAATTAAAGATTATAACAATAATAAAAACAACAACAATAATAATAATAATAATAAAACAAAACAAACCAAAATAAAAATATTCAAAAATATTATTATAATTACAAAAATAATAAAAAAACAGTTTAAAAATTTTATAAATAAAAAATTTATATATTTAAAAAAAATAAACCACTTTTTAATATTAATAATTTAATTAATAATAAAAAAAATACTTTTTTTTATTTATATTTTATAAATATAATATAATTATTATTTAATATAATATAATATTAAAGTATTTTAAATTAAACATAATTTATATTTTATATATATATAATTAATTATTTAAGTAATTATATTAACAAAAACCAACTTTTTTAGATTATTAAAAAACTTATATAAAAATTACAAATTAAAATAAACAGCTTAATTTTTTTTAATACTTATTTTAACTTAATTTTAAACTTAAAATTAAGAAATTAAATATTTAATCTGTATTTAATTATAAATCTTTATATAAAATCTACCAAATTAATATTGTTTTTTTGTATTAATAAAAGTTTACAATCCAATTTTTAAAAATAAAATTTTTATATAATACTATATATTTTTTTTATTAAGTTTAACAAATATAACTCAACTACTATCTAGTACTTTAAAACAAATTAAGTATTTTAAACTAAATGTAGTTTATATGCTGTTTATATGTAACTAGCTACTTAGTTTAGGTTATATTATATTGTTACAATAGAAGTAAACTTAACTAAAGCTAATATTTTCAGTAGAATTTTAGTCAATAATTAACATGAAATTATTTTTATAATTTTTATTATTAATTAACATATATTATTATTATTTTAATTATTACTTATTAGTTAATTAAATTATTAAATATTATTATCTAATTAATAACCCAATTTATATGATACACAATTATAATAATCAGATTATGCAATACTTCAAACTCTATAATATTCAAGAATTTGCCAAAATTTGTAAAAATCTATAAAATATTTTAATAG